GAACCACTGCTGGAATGGTTACTACTGCACATGGTACTGATCAGGGAAGTTGAGGAAGAGAGGGAGAGTGGGACAGGACGATATATAACACTCCAGTTGTGTCTGTTGGTGGAAACACTTGCCGCACACACCTGCTGTGCGGAAGCCTGCTCGTTCAGTAGAAGTTGGTGGCTTGTCTGTCCGGGAGCCCCGATGGTGGTTCAGCACGTTGTATTCATAAGATGAACATGTGATCATGCGATGAAATACTTTATTTTTAAGAACACTGTCTCACCATTTCACATTTTTGTGGCAGTTTTCACATTTCTATTCCATCACTTGACTATGGCATATTATGCCTATGCCATCACATGCCTATGATGTCATAATATCTATGGTATCACTTCATCATCCTCGGCGATTCCTCGCACACGGGCCACGGCTTTGTTGTAGCTTGACTATGACATCACCAGACTCCATTATCACATGACTATGACATCATAGCATGCCAGAATTCTTTTTAGTTTCAGTACAATAATAATAATTATGATAAGATATGTTCTCAGTTCAGACAGTAAATTGGACATTGGAGCAGAAACTGGTGGTACGGATGTTACGCACTGACGTTGATCATGGCCAGCAGTCACGTGACTGGAGAGTGAAAAGAGGTTAGATTGTTGTGTGTTGCATTACAGTTTCAGAGTTGTATATTTATGACTGGTTCACACTAGGCCGATATTTTGGTCCATGCTCCATCACCGATTCCGACATGAAACGGTTGACTGTGTCGGATGAGTCGGACTAGCTGTTCACACGCCACGGTGAGCAATTTTGCTTGTACTAGTTGTAGGCCTGTCAGCTCACACACGTACACGTACACGTGATACACAGCCGAGCTAGACCCTTGCCTTGTAGACACCAGGCAGTGAAAAAATACACGTTTTGACACTAGCTACATGCAGTACATGGTCAGAGTTGTGAAAAGGCTGACACATCTACATCTGCATGTAGTAGAGATCCAGTGCAGCCAGTTCACCGTCTGTAACCAGGCTCTCTGTTGTCATGGTGAAAAGCCGTCAGTGATTGGTTGGAGGCCCGTTTGATCCACTACATGCAAGCACTATTGGCCAACTTTTGTTATCAGCCTAGCCGAAAGCGCACGCAACAAGAAACTCGTCCCAGATATGTCGGAAACTTGTACGACAACATCGTCAGCACTAGAGTTTTTTTTCGCACCGATCTTTACAGATTTCTGTACAAGTCCATGGCAGACGAAAATCGGGCTAGTGTGGACTAGGCATAAGTAATGTATGCTGCACTGTGTTGGTCTTTGTATTGTGTATGGTGTTGCAGCTTGCACTGTGCTGCATTGTGCTGGGCTGTGCTGTGCAGTGCTGCATTGTGCTGTGCTGCATTGTGCTGTCCCCGGGGGAAATTGCGATTCCGCGGCCGCGTTTTTTTCCGCGATTTTTGAACTTTTTGTTGCACAACACGTGCACATAGTGCACTGTTCGGTCACCAACGACGTCTCATCGTGGCGGCTTTTTACTCAAATATGACGAGTGCTTACACCAGAGACCTGTAACTTATTGGTTTCACTACATACTCACTGAAAATTGCCGCACATCAATATTATTCACCGCATATTTACCGCAAATTCACCGCAAATTATGCCATATAATGCCGCGTTTTTCCCCGCGTTTTTTTGCGATTTTTTCCCGCAATTTTCCCCGGGGACAGATTGTGCTGTACTGCACTGTGCTGCACTGTGCTGCATTGTGCTGTACTGCACTGTACTGCACTGTGCTGTACTGCACTGTGCTGTGCTGCGCTGTGCTGCACTGTGCTGCATTGTGCTGTACTGCACTGTACTGCACTGTGCTGTACTGCACTGTGCTGTGCTGCGCTGTGCTGTGCTGCGCTGTGCTGTACTGCACTGTACTGCACTGTGCTGTACTGCACTGTGCTGTACTGCACTGTGCTGTGCTGCGCTGTGCTGTACTGCGCTGTTTCATCCTTCCTGGTATCATGTGTGTGCTGATTAGCACACCAAGACTCCGTTACTTGTTTCTCCTTGCAGTAAGTCTGTGCGGTGTTTTCTGGTTTGTGTGTTGCAATACAGTTATTGTGATTTCATATGAATGGCTCTTGCAAGATATAATTTATTAAATTTTATTTTGTGTTTCTGTTACTCATTACCTGGTGTGTTCTCTTCTCTGTTTCTCTGTGTTTTATTTCAGTGAAAGATTTTCAGAGATCTCAGCGTACTGGCTGTTCTCTGTTATTCCTCCGCGGTCATGAAGCAAAGCTGAGTGGCATTCAGTAGCATTCGTCTGCCGGGGAAAATCACAGGATTGGAGGGCAAAGATGGTGGTAGTTGTGTGCCGAACGCTCTAATGCAAGTATATCTGCCAGAAGACTGGAGTGAAGTGAGTAAGTAGACTTTCTATTGTTAATAATCTGCTATTTGTTACTACTGATAACTGTACAATATTCACCACACATTATTGTTTGCCTTTTTTCACGACAAGACAGTAAGGGCCAGGTTCCACTGCGGCTCCGCTGCTCTGCTGCTCATCACCCGCGGCTTGATACGTCAACATTACCACAGTGACGGCGGCGCGAGCTGGCGCAACGATGCCGCGGCTCACCGCAACCTTTCGCTTTGATTCTTGATGAAAAACTGCGAAGTTCGGTCGCGGCTCGACCTGCTTCCCGTACTTTGCCTCGTTTTATACGCGAGGATTTTAAAAATCAAATTATATTTCGTTACGCAGGCCAGAACACGAGGTTTTTTGGATTTCACGCGCGCTGGCGCGCGCAGGCAGGTAAAACATCATTAAAAACCATGGATCACGACCGCGGTACCGCGAATGGCGAGTGTCAGTGGAACCGCGCTGCTCCGCTGCATGCAGCTAAGTCCCGCGGAGCAGCCAAGCCGCGGAGCCGCAGTGGAACCCGGCCCTAATGTGGATATTGATTAACCAGAGAGAAGTCAAATTTGAACAGTGAGTTTATGAAAAGTGGCCACAGTCCTTTGCGAACATTTTCCATTGTAAACTCTCTGGTTCTAAGAAATGTCGAAAATTTAGTGACGCGAATATCGGTGTGTTTGCAGAATTCTAATTTTACCATACTAACAAGTCAGAAATGTATTATGTGATTATAGCACTGTAGGGTGATAAAATTTGTACCGGCTAGGATTTCACAACACACACCATACCGGTATATACCGTAGAATCCCACCAGAGCGCACCGTCTCTTCCATGCGCCCCTCCCTGTCTTTTTGTCAGGGAAGTGATTCATTGTGTCCTCGTATGACTCCATGATGCCGTACTGTACTGCAGACGAGTGCTCGACCCGGTCATTTTTCCTAGTAGTGATGGTGCTGTTGCTGGTGATGGCGATGGTCCCGCAACTGTTGCTACTGCTGCTGGTATTGCTGCTACTGTTGCTGCTGGTGATGGTGCTGCTATTTATGCAACTGCATGTTGCTGCTTTTTGTTTGTGTTTTTCTTGCTGAATTTTCCCATTGCACTGCTACAGATATGTTTGTGTTATCGAATCAACAGCAGAGCGGTCGTGCTGTTATTTCTGCAGCTGTGTAGCAGATGGATGTGACTACTACAAGGTATGTCAAAGAGTATCATCAACTGTACTTATACATCTTCTTATAAAATGTATACGAGTGGGCAATCGCTGAAGTATTATTAAACCGTTGATATTGCTACAGGTGGTGCTATTTCTCTTGACTCCATTCTCTTTCTGTGCTGTGCTTTCTGTGCTACTGTTGCTGCTCCTCTGTGTGTGTGTGTGTGTGTGTGTGTGTGTGTGTGTGTGTGTGTGTGTGTGTGTGTGTGTGTGTTGGCCCTGCCAGTCACAAGTGTGTGGCTCCGTCCCCAGCCGCAGTGGAGTCGTGTTGTGGCGCGCACTGTGCGTCCCGCGGCTGCTGATTCCGTTCGGTCCAGGGCAGGAATATACACCGCTGCTCAGGTTATCCCCAGGCCATACGTCAGTCTCGGGGCAGCAGTCGTAGGTGACCTGTATCCTGACAACCTCTCGTTGGGTCCCGGACGCCGTGGGACGGCGTTCTCCTTTTCTCTCTCCGTTGCCACTCCGGGCCCACGTGACCCTTGTGGCAGTGGCTCGCTAGGACAGGACAGGACAGGTATGTGTGTTTTGTGTGTAAGTGCTGCTGCTGTTGCTGCTGCTGTTGCTGTTGTTGCTGCTATTTCTGCCTCCTACCTCTACTGCTGCTGCAGCTGCTGCTGTTTCCGTTGCTGCTGTTGATGTTGCTTCAGGCAGTCACTTCTTTTTCTGTATGTGTGTGTGTGTGTGTGTGTGTGTGTGTGTTTGTGTGTGTATTAATGTGCTGTCATAGTGTCTATTGCGGATAGCGTTGCCAGTGTCTATACTGTTACTGCTGCTTCCTCCATGGTCAGCTGTGCTGAACAGTGATCCGTTACGTGTGTGTCAGCGAGTACTCAGATGATGGGCAGAAATCTGGATGGCAGAGCTGCATCTTAGTAAGGTACATGTTGTGTCTAAGGATTTCTTTTTGTCAGTTACTTTCCCTTGCCCGTCTCCTGTTTCCATATATGGGTGGGTTTAAACTAGTATAGCACGGATCTGGTTTGAAAATAATCCCCGGTCACATGACCACACTGTGGTAGTTTTGGTGGGAACTTGAAGACGGCTGGCCATGTATTGTCATTTCTGAATGTGACGTTTACTGCTGGTGATACTGCAACTGCAAGTGTGTCTATACTGGTGATAGTGGTACTGCAGCTATTGATGTGCTGGAAACTAATGTAGCTGCTATGCTGGCAAGACCTGTACTGTTGCTGTGCTGGCAGGACCTATACTGTAGCTGTCCTGGCAAGACCTGTACTGTTGCTGTACTGTGTCTGTTCTGTTGCTTTCGCTAATGTTTTGTTTGCTGCTGCTGTTACTGTTTCAGGGGTATTTTCCGCAGTGGCGGCGTGGTTGCTTTTATTGCAGCGAGTTTTTCTTCTAAGGTCTCCATATGCAAAGTAATCTGTTGGCTGATGGACGGATGCCGGGATGGTTCAGAAATGAAAGGTACATTTTTTTATTAACTAGTACCCCTGAACTGTTATCACCCCCAACCCCTGCCCCGCTCCCTCCCCCCCCCCCCCCCCATCACACGGCACCCATATTCACATGGAATAGAATTGTATAATGGGAGAATTGTACATAGAATAATTGTTTGACTTCAACTTCTCCTCGTTACAGACAACTCTCATACTCCTACCTGTGTTGTCTATGCATTAGAAAGTGAGTTATCAAAGTTTTAACCACTGCATATCTAGATCACCACTCTTGTCTACAGTGTACGTAAGCCTCTATGGGTATATTTGCATGTCCAGCTATACACAGGGTTGGAAGAGACATTTTGTTTGCACTTTAGGTACGCATTCATTCCTTCTCTTTCCTGTCATTCTCTCCAAACTCTACTTCTCGTGACAGCAAGGAATGGTGGCTCTGCTTGTTCAAACTGTTGTGTCTGTCTCTCTGCTGCTGCTGCTGCTGCTGCTGCTGATAGTGACACTGTTATTGCTGCTATTGCTGGTGATGGCTGTGTTGGTCATGCTGCTTCTGCTGCGGATGCTATTGCTGTTGCTGCTGCGGATGCTATTGCTGCTTCTGCTGCGGATGCTATTGCTGCTGCTGCTGTTGCTGTTGTTGTTTCTGCTGCTTGCCTGTTTATTCCTCTGTTGCAGTTGCAGTTGCTGGTCGAGTTGCTGACAGTGTGATGCTGCTGTGATAGAGATCATGACTGATGTCAGTAGCTGTACTATTCCTCTGCTTCATCTCTGGTCCTGGGTAACAGGAATCAGATGTATGCAGATCAGTGACGTTTCTGATGACGTTAACAAACCTGGATGATATTGCTTCAATGCAGAAAGGTACAGCGTGTATAAAATGTCATCTTATTGTTAACTACATTATCTTGCCCCTCCCTTCTTTCCCTATTTGGATGTGTTCAAACTAATAATCAAAACCGGTAGAATTGGATAATTGTCCTGGGGAAATGACTGCACATTGTTTTTATCTGCAAAGATTGCTACTGTTGCTCCTGTTGCTGTTGCTGTGAATATTGCTGCTGTTTCTGGTCCTGCTGCTGCTGCTGTTTCTGGTCCTGCTGCTGCTGCTGTTGCTGCTGCTGCTGCTGTTGCTGTTAATATTGCTGCTGTTTCTGGTCCTGCTGCTGCAGCTGCTGCTGTTGCTGCTGTTATTGTTGTTGCTGTTGCTGCTGTTGCTGCTGTTGCTGCTGTTGCTGCTGCTGTTGCTGCTGCTGTTGTTGCTGCTGTTGCTGCTACTGCTGCTGTTTTTGGTGCTGCCGCTGGTGCTGCTGCTACTGCTACTGCTGCTGTTGTTGCTGCTGTTGCTGCTATTGCTGTTGCTACCGTTACTGTTGTTTTTGCTGTTGTTGCTGCTGTTGCTGCTGTTGCTGCTGCTGTTGCGGCTGCTGTTGCTGCTACTGCTGCTGTTGCTGCTGCTGCTACTGCTACTGCAGCTGCTGTTGCTGCTGTTGCTTCTATTGCTGCTGTTGGTATTGCTGCTATGTCTGCTATTGCTGTTGCTACCGTTGCTGCTGTGGTCGCTGTGTCTGCTGTTGCTACCACTGCTGTTGCTGCTTCTTCTGTTGCTACCAATGCTGTTGTTTCTGCTGCTGCTGCTGTCGCTGTTGTTGCTATTGCTGCTGTTTCTGCTGTTTACATTGCTGCTGTTGGTGCTTCTTCTGTTGCTACCACTGCTGTTGTTTCTGCTGCTACTGCTGCTGCCGCTGTTGTTGTTATTGTTCTGCTGTTTCTGCTGTTTGCATTGCTGCTGTTGGTGCTGCTGTTGTTGCTGCTTTTGCTGCTGCTGCTGCTACTTTTGGGGCTGCTGTTGCTGGTGCTTGATCTGTTGTTGTTGCTGTTGTTGCTGCTGTTATTTTTGCTCCTCCTGTTTCTACTGTTGGTGCTGTTAGTCTTGCTGTTGTTGCAGCTATTTGAGTTCTCTATTCTCACGATGGTACCATCGTCAAAATGCAATTGTTGCTGATGTGGTTGCTGCTATTACTCTCGTTGCAGCTGTTGTTGCTGTTGTTGGTGATTCAGAGGAGGTGATTTCTCGGTGGCATTCAGTAGCATTCGTCTGCTGGGGAAAATCACAGGATTGGAGGGCAAAGATGGTGGTAGTTGTGTGCCGAACGCTCTAATGCAAGTATATCTGCCAGAAGACTGTAGTGAAGTGAGTAAGTAGACTTTCTATTGTTAATAATCTGCTACAGTCAAACCTCGTTAGGACGAACTTCAAGGGACTGAACACATTTGTTTGTCTTATCGGGAGTTCTTCTTATCCAGATCTGACAAAAAATCGATATGCATATCAGATGGATTGTATTTACGTGAAGGTGCATGCTGTGGTACATGGGAAGCATGTTATTCTTAGCATAAGCCAGAAACAGGTACATGTAAGTACAATGACAAAGACAATGAATCACGACTGTGTCGAAAGTTAGTTCGTACAACGCACTGATTATTTTGTTAAAAACACGCTTGAAAACAATTTGCACTGTACGTACAATATGACGAAAAAAGAAGAAGAAAAAAGGCAGCCAGCGCACGCGCACGCTCGTGGACCGAAAGTTCGTACTACATGTACCATGATGTACATGACCACACTGACTTTGTTCAAATCACACTTGAAAATAGTTCGTCTTCGCGAAAGTTCGCTGTACAGAAGTTCGTCGTAAACGAATAATTTTGACTTGAATTGATGCCTGGCCAACCATAGGATTGGCCTTAGTTCGTACTAATGGAAAGTTCGCCTTATCAGTGTTCGTCCTAACGAGGTTTGACTGTATTTGTTACTACTGGTAACTGTACAATATTCACCACACATTATTGTTTGCTATTTTCACGACAAGAGAGTAAGGGCCAGGTTCCACTGCGGCTCCGCTGCTCCGCTGCTCATCATCCGCGGCTTGATACGTCATCATTACCATAGTGACCGCGGCTCGAGCTGGAGCAGCGAGGCCGCGGCTCACAGCAACCTTTTGCTACGATTCTTGATCAAAAACCGCGAGCCACGGTCGCGGCTCGACCTGTTTCCCGTGCTTTGCACTGTTTTGTACGCAAGAATATTAAAATTCAAATTTTATTTCGTTGCGCAGGCCAGAACACGAGGGTTTTTTGATTTTGCGGTACCGCGAATGATGAGTGTCAGTGGAACCGCGCTGCTCCGCTGCATTCAGCCAAGTGCCGCTGGGCAGCCGAGCCGCGGAGCCGCAGTGGAACCCGGCCCTAATGTGAATATTGATTAACCAGAGACCGCGAATGACGAGTGCCAGTGGAACCGCGCTGCTCCGCTGCATGCAGCCAAGTGCCGCGGAGCCGCAGTGGAACCCGGCCCTAATGTGAATATTGATTAACCAGAGCGAAGTCAAATTTGAACAGTGAGTTTATGAAAGTGGCCACAGTCCTTTGCGAACATTATCCATTGTAAACTCCCTGGTTCTAAGAAATATCGAAAATTTATTGACGCGAATATCGGTGTGTTTCTAGAATTCTAATTTTACCATACTAACAAGTCAGAAATGTATTATGTGATTATAGCACTGTAGGGTGATGAAATTTGTACTGGCTAGGATTTCACAACACACACCATACCGGTATATACCGTAAAATCCCACCAGAGCGTCCCATCTCTTCCATGCGCCCCTCCCTAACTTTTTGTCAGGGAAGTGATTGATTGCATCCTTGTGTGACTCCATGATGCCGTACTGTACTGCAGACGAGTGCTCGACCCGGTCATTTTTCTTACTAGTGATGGTGCTGTTGCTGGTGATGGCGATGGTCCCGCAACTGTTGCTACTGCTGTGTGGTATTGCTGCTACTGTTGCTGCTGGTGATGGTGCTGCTTGTGCTGTTGTTACTGCTGCTGGTGATGCTATTTATGCAACTGAATGTTGCTGCTTTTTGTTTGTGTTTTTCTTGCTGAATTTTCCCGTTGCACTGCTACAGATATGTTTGCGTTATCGTATCAACAGCAGAGCGGTCGTCCTGTTATTTCTGTAGCTGTGTAGCAGATGGATGTGACTACTACAAGGTATGTCAAAGAGTATCATCAACTGTACTTATACATCTTCTTATAAAATGTATACGAGTGGGCAATCTCTGAAGTATTATTAAACCATTGATATTGCTACTGGTGGTGCTATTTCTCCTGACTCCATTGTCTTTCTGTGCTGTGCTTTCTGTGCTACTGTTGCTGCTCGTGTATGTGTATGTGTGAGTGTGTGTGTGTGTGTGTGTGTGTGTGTGTGTGTGTGTGTGTGTGTGTGTGTTGGCCTTGCCCATCACAAGTGTGTGGCTCAGTCCCCAGCCGCAGTGGAGGCGTGTTGTGGCGTGCACTGTGCGTCCTGCGGCCGCTGCTTCCGTTCGGTCCAGGGCAGGAATAGACACCGCTGCTCAAGTTCTCCCCGGCCATACCTCAGTCTCTGGGTAACAGTCCTAGGTGACCTGAATCCTGACGACCTCTTGTTGTGTCCTGGACGCCGTGGGACGGCGTTCTCCTCTTCTCTCTCCGTTGCTCCTCCGGGCCCACGTGACCTTGTGGCAGTGGCTCGATAGGACAGGACGGGACAGGTCTGTTTGTGTGTGTTACTCTTGACTTTGTTGCTGTTGTTGCTGCTACTGTTGGTGTTGCTGCTGTTGCTGCTTCTGCTGCTGCTGTTGCTTTTGTTGCTGCTGTTGGTGCTGCTGCTGTTGCTGTTGCTGCTGTTGCTGTTGCTGCTGTTGCTGTTGCTGTCGCTGTTGTTGCTGCTTCTTCAGCCGCGCCGCTGCTGCTGCTGTTGTTGTTGCTGCTGTTGCTTTTGTTGCTGCTGTTGGTGTTGCTGCTGTTGCTGTTGCTGCTGTTGCTGTCGCTGTTGTTGCTGCTTCTGCTGCTGCTGTTGCTTTTGTTGCTGCTGTTGGTGTTGCTGCTGTTGCTGTTGCTGCTGTTGCTGTCGCTGTTGTTGCTGCTTCTGCCGTTGTTGCTCTCGCTGTTGCTGCTGCTGTTGCTGCTGTTGCTGCTGCTGTTGTTGCTGCTGCTGTTGCTGTCGCTGTTTTTGCTGCTGCTGTTGTTGCTGCTGCTGTTGTTGCTGCTGCTTCAGTTGTTGCTTCTGCTTTTCCTGTTGTTGCTCTCGCTGCTGCTGTTGCTGCTGTTGCTTATGCTGTTGTTGCTGCTGCTGTTGTTGCTGCTGCTGTTGCTGTCGCTGTTTTTGCTGTTGCTCACGGTTGTTGCTCTCGCTGCTGCTGTTGCTGCTGTTGCTTATGCTGTTGTTGCTGCTGCTGTTGCTGTCGCTGTTTTAGCTGTTGCTGTTGCTGCTGCTGCTGTTGCTTCTGCTTCTGCTGTTGTTGCTCTCGCTGTTGTTTCTTCTACTGTTGCTGCTGTTGCTGTTGCTGCTGTTGCTGTCGCTGTTGTTGCTGCTTCTGCTTCTGCCGTTGTTGCTCTCGCTGTTGTTGCTGCTGCTGTTGCTGCTGTTGCTGCTGCTGTTGTTGCTGCTGCTGTTGCTGTCGCTGTTTTTGCTGCTGCTGTTGTTGCTGCTGCTGCAGTTGTTGCTGCTTCTGCTTCTGCTGGTGTTGCTCTCGCTGTTGTTTCTGCTGCTGTTGCTGCTGTTGCTTTTGTTGCTGCTGTTTCTGTTGCTGCTGTTGTTGCTGCTGCTGCAGTTGTTGCTGCTTCTGCTTCTGCTGCTCTCGCTGCTGCTGTTGCTGCTGTTGCTTATGCTGTTGTTGCCGCTGCTGTTGTTGCTGCTGCTGTTGCTGTCGTTGTTTTTGCTGTTGCTGTTGTTGCTCTCGCTGCTGCTGTTGCTCCTGTTGGTTATGCTGTTGTTGCTGCTGCTGTTGTTGCTGCTGCTGTTGCTGTCGCTGTTTTTGCTGCTGCTGTTGCTGTCGCTGCTGTTGCTGCTCTCACTGCTGCTCAGGTTGCTACTGTTGCTTATGCTGTTGTTGCTGCTGCTGTTGTTGCTGCTGCTGTTGCTGTCGCTGTTTTAGCTGTTGCTGCTGCTGCTGTTGCTTCTGCTTCTGCTGTTGTTGCTCTCGCTGTTGTTTCTTCTACTGTTGCTGCTGTTGCTGTTGCTGCTGTTGCTGTTGCTGCTGTTGCTGTCGCTGTTGTTGCTGCTTCTGCTTCTGCCGTTGTTGCTCTCGCTGTTGTTGCTGCTGCTGTTGCTGCTGTTGCTGCTGCTGTTGTTGCTGCTGCTGTTGCTGTCGCTGTTTTTGCTGCTGCTGTTGTTGCTGCTGCTGCAGTTGTTGCTGCTTCTGCTTCTGCTGGTGTTGCTCTCGCTGCTGCTGTTGCTGCTGTTGCTTATGCTGTTGTTGCCGCTGCTGTTGTTGCTGCTGCTGTTGCTGTCGTTGTTTTTGCTGTTGCTGTTGTTGCTCTCGCTGCTGCTGTTGCTCCTGTTGGTTATGCTGTTGTTGCTGCTGCTGTTGTTGCTGCTGCTGTTGCTGTCGCTGTTTTTGCTGCTGCTGTTGCTGTCGCTGCTGTTGTTGCTCTCGCTGCTGCTCAGGTTGCTACTGTTGCTTATGCTGTTGTTGCTGCTGCTGTTGTTGCTGCTGCTGTTGTTGCTGCTGCTGTTGCTGTCGCTGTTTGTGCTGCTGCTGTTGCTGTTGCTGCTGTTGCTGTTGCTGCTGCTGCTGTTGCTGCTGCTTCTGCTTTTGCTGTTGTTGCTCTCGCTGTTGTTTCTGCTACTGTTGCTGCTGTTGCTTTTGTTGCTGCTGTGGTTGTTGTTGTTGCTGCTGTTGCTGTCGCTGTTGGTGCTGCTTCTGCTTCTGCTGTTGTTGCTCTCGCTGTTGTAGCTGCTGCTGTTGCTGTTGCTGCTGCTATTTCTGCTTCCTACCTCTACTGCTACTGATACTGTTTCCGCTGTTTCTGTGGCTCCTGTTGACTTTGCTGCAGTAGTCACGTCTCTTTCTGTGTGTGTGTGTGTGTGTGTGTGTGTGTGTGTGTGTGTGTGTGTGTGTGTGTGTGTGTGTGTTTTCACGTGCTGTCATAGGGTATATTTCGGATAGCGTTGCCAGTCTCTCTATTGTTACTGCTGCTTCCTCCATGGTCAGCTGTGCTGAACAGTGCTCCGTTACGTGTGTGTCAGCGAGTACTCAGATGATGGGCAGAAATCTGGATGGCAGAGCTGCATCTTAGTAAGGTACAGGTTGTGTCTAAGGATTTCTTTTTGTCAGTTACTTTCCCTTGCCCGTCTCCTGTTTCCATATATGAGCCCCAGCCAGCAGAAACCTGAACATGTGTAATTTTTTCAAAAATTATTTTTTCCCTCGAAATTGTTTCTACACTATTAATCATTCAAGTTATCAAGTTTGGTGACAATCTGATAAGCGAAAGCATGAAAAATAGAGTTTGAAGTCACATAGGTCAAGATTCGGTACAGTTGGCGCAGCATCCATGCCTAGTGACTCCATGCAAGTTAATCCTACAGTTTCTGATTGTGATGTGGAACAGGTACATGTAAGTAAATAGAATGCAAGTCAGGCTTGCCCTCTTGGTGCTGCAGGCATGAGTAGTTCAGAAGTGTGACGATATTCCGTATACATCACTGCCTTCTTTACAACACCAGAGCGCAAAACGATGATTGGTGGCTGGCCTTCCAAATTGTGTTCAGGGACTCTGTGCCGGCAGTTTGAGCATTGTCCCAAAGCTTGCCATACTGATAGATGTACTGACCAATACCACTGACATCCACTCCCTTGCACACTTTCACTCAGACCATGATTTCAGCATAATTGTATTTCATTGATATGAGCGAATACTCGCGTTATGTAGCACGTGAAGATGTTGCCCCAAAGCGTTCAGCCGGTTTGAGTTTTTAGGAATCCCCTTTCTCACCACAGGCAGCAGCCAGCTTGGCGTCGTCTGGCAAGGTAGAGTACTGATAATACGACGCTCAGATTTGCGCCGTGAGAAGCCCTCCATCAGTGTCTGCAACATCATTGTTGTCGATGTAGAAATACGGATCGCTGAGCGGGTCGACATTCAGCTTCTCCTCGCAGTCGCTATTACTCCAGCACTGACTAACGTCGCCACCAGTATCCAGTGTCGATTTTATGAGGGCTCTTCGTTGCTATGCATATGAGACTCGCCACTGCTGGACAAACCCAGCGAGATCGCCACCAAAGAAATAATTCCGATCGCGAACTAACTTTCAGCGCCGCTTCGTACAGGGAGTCTCACGCAGACAAGTAACTCCTAAGTCTTTGTCGCGACACCTGTCGCCATCGCTGTGTCTAAACTCAACCTCCGTGTGACGAGCTCTCACCTAGCGCTAAAATCAATTGACCAGAGAAATTTGAAGACACTTGAAACTCCTTTGACAACAAAGACACCCACTTGATCGAAAAAGAATCTTCAAAAGCCAGCTCACTGCGCGTCCCAAACTTTGACGTCACATTTTGATGATTGATATCAAGTACACAAGTGCTGGTTTTCGCTGGCCGGGGCTCATATGGGTGGGTTTAAACTAGTATAGCACGGATCTGGTTTGAAAATAATCCCCGGTCACATGACCACACTGTGGTAGTTTTGGTGGGAACTTGAAGACGGCTGGTCATGTACTGTCATTTCTGAATATGACGTTTACTGCTGGTGATACTACTACTGCAAGTGTGTCTATACTGGTGATAGTGCTACTGCAGCTATTGATGTGCTGGAAACTAATGTAGCTGCCGTCCTGGCAAGACCTCTACTATTGCTGTACTGGAAAGACCTTTTCTGTTGCTGTGCTGGAAAGACCTTTACTGTTGCTGTACTGGAAAGACCTGTACTATTGCTGTGCTGGCAAGACCTTTACTGTTGTACTGTTGCTTTCGCTAATGTTGTTGTTGCTGCTGCTGTTGCTGTTTCAGGGGTATTTTCTGCAGTGGCGGCGTGGTTGCTCTAATTGCAGCGGGTTGTTCTGCCATGGTCTCCATATGCAAAGTGATCTGTTGGCTGATGGACGGATGCCGGGATGGTTCAGATTTGAAAGGTACTTTTTTTAATTAACTGGCACCCCTGTTCTGTTAGCACCCCAACCCCTGCCCCGCTCCGTCCCCCCCCCCCCCCCCCCCCTCATCACACAGCACCCATATTCACATGGAATAGCATTGTATAATGGGAGAATTGTGCATGGAACGAGAGAGCTTGGAAGCTCAGGGCCCTACGCTATGCTTTTTTGCCTTGATGACCTAGACAAACAAAGCATAGGGATGTTATAAATTCTTTTTAAAAAATCCTCTTTTTTTTAAGACATAACCTGGGATTCGATCCCGCACTATCGCGCGCCCTGCATGCATCCCCCGATACACTTCGCATACATACTAATTCTTCCAAGTTGTTTCACAATGTGATCTGATGGCAAAAAGCATAGGATGTTATACATTTTTCAATTCTCCTATTTTTTTCAGGCATATCCTGGGATTCGAACCCGCACTATCACCCTACATGCATTCCCCCATACACTTCGCATTCACACCCATTCTTCCAAGTTGTTTCACATTGTGATCTTGCATTTGAAAGCCCTATTTGAATATGCATTGTGGCCAGCCGTCTTTGATGGCACGGTACGGTAGGGGATAGGTACGGGACAGGTACGATCGAGGGTAATACGACACCGTCTCCCGTACCGTACCGTACCATCAAACACAGCTGGCCACATACAGCTGCCCGCAATATTCAAATAGGGCTTTCAAACGCAAGATAATAACGTGAAGCAACTTGGAAGAATGGGTATGAATGCGAAGTGTATGGGGGAATGCATGTAGGGCGATAGTGCGGGTTCGAATCCCAGGATATGCCTGGAGAAAAATAGGAGAATTGAAAAATTTATAACGTCCTATGCTTTTTTGCCGTCAGATACGGATAGCGCCAGGCGTGACACAAACAAACAAACAACCAAACACACACACACACAAATACCAAATTAAAGCTGTGTGGACCCTGGCTAGCGCCAGACGTTACTGAAGTAACGTCTTCTGCATAGCTACGGGAATAATAGTTTGACTTCAACTTCTCCTCGTTACAAACAACTCTCATACTCCTACCTGTTTTGTCTATCCATTAGAAAGTGAGTTATCTAAGTTTTAACCACTGCATATCTAGATCACCACTCTTGTCTACAGTGTACGTAAGCCTCTATGTGTATATTTGCATGTCCAGCTATACACAAGGTTGAAAGAGACATTTTTGTTAGCACTTCACGTACTCATTCATTCCTTCTCTTTCATGGCATTCTCTCCAAACTCTCCTTCTCGTGACAGCAAGGAATGATGGCTCTGCTTATCCAAACTGTTGTGTCTATCTCTCTGTTGCTGCTGCTGCTGATGATGATCTTGACACTGCTACTGCGGCTATTGCTGGTGTTGGCTGTGCTGGTCATGCTGCTTCTGCTGCGGATGCTATTGCTGCTGTTGTTTCTTTTGTTCCACAATTTGCTGCTGTTGCTGTTGCTGTTGTTTCCGCTATTTGTCTGTTTATCCCTGATGTGGTCGATGTGTCTGCTGTTGCTACGGTTGCTGTTGCTGCTTCTTCTGTTGCTACCACTGCTGTTGTTTCTGCTGCTGCTGCTGTCGCTGTTGTTGCTCTTGCTGCTGTGTCTGCTGTTGCTACGGTTGCTGCTGTTGCTGCTTCTTCTGTTGCTACCACTGCTGTTGTTTCTGCTGCTGCTGCTGATGCCGCTGTTGTTGTTATTGCTGCTGTTTCTGTTGTTTGCATTGCTGCTGTTGGTGCTGCTGTTTTTGCTGCTTTTGCTGCTGTTGCTGCTACTTTTGGGGCTGCTGTTGCTGGTGCTTGTGCTGCTGTTGTGGCTGCTGTCTTTGCTGCTCCTGCTGCTACTGTTGTTCTTGCTACTGCTGTTGTTGTTGTTGCTGCTGCTGTTGTTGCTGCTGTTGTTGTTGCTGCTATTGCTGTTGCTGTTGTTGTTGCTGTTTCTGTTGCTGTTGTCGCTGTTGCTGCTGCTTTTGCTGTTGCTGTTGTTGCTGCTGTTGCTGCTGTTGGTGCTATTAGTCTTGCGGCCGTCGTTGGAGCTACTGCTACTGCTACTGCTGCTGATATTTTCTTTGCTGTTGCTGCTGTTATTTTCTTTACTGCTGTTGTTTCTACTGTTGGTGCTATTAGTCTTGCTGTTGTTGCAGCTATTTGAACTCTTCATTCTCACGATGGTACCATCGTCAAAAAGCAATTTTTGCTGCTGTGGTTGCTGCAATTATTCTCCTTGCAGCTATTGTTGATGTTGTTGGTGATTCAGAGGAGGTGATTTCTCGGTGGCATTCAGTAGCATTCGTCTGCCGGGGGAAATCACAGGATTGGAGGGCAAAGATGGTGGTAGTTGTGTGCCGAACGCTCTAATGCAAGTATATCTGCCAGAAGACTGGAGTGAAGTGAGTAAGTAGACTTTCTATTGTTAATAATCTGCTATTTGTTACTACTGATAACTGTACAATATTCTCCACACATTATTGTTTGCTATTTTCACGACAAGAGCGTAAGGGCCAGGTTACACTGCGGCTCCGCTGCTCCGCTGCTCATCATCCGCGGGTTGAAACGTCATCATTACCATAGTGACCGCGACTCGAGCTGGAGCAGCGAGGCCACGGCTCACAGCGACCTTTTGCTACGATTCTTGATCAAAAACTGAGAGCCGCAGTCGCGGCTCGACCTGTTTCCCGTTACTTTGCACTGTTTTGTACGCAAGAATTTTAAAATTCTAATTTTGTTTCATTGCTGGCCAGAACACGAGGTTTTTTTGATTTCGTGGTACCGCGAATGACGAGTGCCAGTGGAACCGCGCTGCTCCGCTGCATGCAGCCAAGTGCCGCGGAGCCGCAGTGGAACCCGGCCCTAATGTGAATATTGATTAACCAGAGCGAAGTCAAATTTGAACAGTGAGTTTATGAAAGTGGCCACAGTCCTTTGCGAACATTATCCACTGTAAACTCCCTGGTTCTAGGAAATGGCGAAAATTTATTGACGCGAATATCGGTGTGTTTGCAGAATTCTAATTTTACCATATTAACCCTTTGGAGCTCATCGTTCGAATTCGAACGATGCCAATGTCATGTGTGCAAGTGCACTCAACGAGTCACAACTCAGTCAAATCTCAACCGAATTCAACAATCGAAATACCTACGAGGTAGCAGAGAATCTAAGCTGTCGGCTCGAAAAACTCCGGGGTCGATACGAGCTAGTATAACAGAGCGGCAAGTGCTCGAGCGTTCGCTCGATTTCTCATGCGTCAGCGAAGTGCAAATTTCGCTCAAAAGTGGGATTTTCCCTCTTTCTGCCCCTGCAGCGTGTGACATCACTCCCAGCGCTTTTTGTCACGGCTTTTGTGAGTCTGTTAGAAAAAATTTGAATGATTTTGAGCTAGCACGAGTGAAATGGCGAGACAAGGACTATTCCCGTTTTGGATTTGGTATTCAGCTGGCGTTCCTGGCATTCAGTGGCAGACAGCAATCGCTCTCCTGAATGAGTTTGGGCTCGCTGTTATCCTCGTTCCAAGAGCTTTCCAACGAGCCCAAGATCGTCAAAATCGGTGAAGTAGAACTAGCGTTATGATGGAAATTGGAACGAATATACTTGCAATTGCAGCTATCTACCGACGTCGTGTGATCAGTGCAGTTCCAAAGGGTTAACAAGTCAGATATGTATTATGTGTTTATAGCACTGTAGGGTCATGAAATTTGTACTGGCTAGGATTTCACAACACACACCATACCGGTATATACCGTAAAATCCCGCCAGAGCGCACCGTCTCCTCCATGCGCCCCTCCCTGACTTTTTGTCAGGAAAGTGATTGATTCTAGCCTCGTATAACTCCATGATGCCGTACTGTCCTGCAGACGAGTGCTCGACCCGGTCATTTTTCATACTAGTGATGGTGATGTTCCTGGTGATGGTGATGGTGATGGTCCCGCAACTGTTGCTACTGCTGTGTGGTATTGCTGCTACTGTTGCTGCTGGTATTGCTGCTACTGTTGCTGCTACTGTTGTTACTGCTGCTGGTGCTGCTATTTATGCAACTGAATGTTGCTGCTTTTTGTTTCTTTTTTTTTCTTCCTGAATTTTCCCATTGCACTGCTACAGATATGTTTGTGTTATCGTATCAACAGCAGAGCGGTCGTCCTGTTATTTCTGCAGCTGTGTAGCAGATGGATGTGACTACTACAAGGTATGTCAAAGAGTATCATCAACCGTACTTTACAGCTTCTTATAAAATGTATACGAGTGGGCAATCGCTGAAGTATTATTAAACCGTTGATATTGCTGCTGGTGGTGCTATTTCTTCTGACTTCATTGTCTTTCTGTGCTGTGCTTTCTGTGCTACTGTTGCTGCTTCTGTGTGTGTGTCTGTATGTGTGTGTGTGTGTGTGTGTGTGTGTGTATGTGTGTGTGTAAAAAAAATTCGCCGAGAGGAAGCAGATTTGTTAGCTCCTGGTTTTCTCTTTGTTGGCCTCCTCCACGGGGCGGCCTTGGCCTTCTGGTCAGGGTCGTCCCTGGGTATTGACTGGCAGTAGGCTTTTCATGCCTTGCAGCCGGTTTCGCTCGCGCGGAAGGACATTCAGTGAGCTGACGACCAGGGCGGGTAATTATTTGTTGCCGTCACCGTCTTCTTGCGTCCTTTCCGCATCCTCCGCAGTGGCGTGGCGAGCCCTCGGATCAATCCCCAGCCTGTAACAATGCAGTGGCGTTCGGCAAAACCGTCAAGTGGATTCCTGGATGAGAAAGGATACAGGTCACACTCGCAACAATTTATTCCTGCGCGGTGATAGCTGGAATTGTGAATTTGTCGTGTTGTTTGGACCTGAGTGGCCAGTCGTCGTGCGGCGATGGTGTAGTGATGTTAGCTTGCTGCGCATACTCCTCGTCGTTTCGTGAAAGTACGTCTTGTGGAGCCCTTGTGGGACGTCCGGTGCCCACCCTCCAGCTCAAGATTGTGCTTTCCTGGTGCATGAAGGCCGAAGCAGTACGCGTATAGACGTTATTGTTGAACAGAACATCATGTTCACATTAATTTTGTTCCTTTTTCAGTCGTTGCATGTTATACTTATAGTGGACCTATACAGCAGACTGTTCATCTGGTTTGTGATATTTCCTTCCTCTGTTTGTGAGTCCCTTTCCACCAATATGGCAGCTTGTTTTGATTTCCTTTTTTTCAATTCATTTTGCTGTACTTCCTGTTTTGTTTGCGCCACTGCCCCTCACCTTGCGCTCAGTTCTCTGAGTGGAGGGCGGCGTGACCCCAAGGGGTAGCTGATTGATAGTAGTAGTAGTAGTGTGTATGTGTGTGTCTGTGTGTCTGTGTGTGTTGGCCTTGCCCGTCACAAGTGTGTGGCTCAGTCCCCAGCCGCAGTGGAGCCGTGTTGTGGCGCGCACTGTGCGTCCTGCGGTTGCTGATTCCGTTCGGTCCAGGGCAGGAATAGACACCGCTGCTCAAGTTCTCCTCCGGCCATACATTAGTCTCGGGGCAACAGTCGTAGGTTACCTGAATCCTGACGACCTCTCGTTGTGTCCGGGACGCCGTAGGACGGCGTTCTCCTCTTCTCTCTCTCCGTTGCCCCTCCGGGCCCACGTGACCCTTGTGGCAGTGGCTCGACAGGACAGGACAGGACAGGTGTGTGTGTTTTGTGTGTTGCTGTTGCTTTTGTTGCTGTTGCTGCTTTGTTGTTGCTGCTGCTGCTGTTGTCGCTGTTGCTGTTGTTGCTGCTATTTCTGCCTCCTACCTCTGCTGCTACTGCTGCTGTTTCTGCTGTTTCCGTGGCTGCTGTGGATGTTACTTCAGGCAGTAACTTCTTTTTCTGTGTGTGTGTGTGTGTGTATATGTGTGTGTGTGTGTGTGTGTGTGTGTGTGTGTGTGTGTGTGTGTATTCATGTGCTGTCATAGTGTCTATTGCAGCGGATAGCGTTGCCAGTGTCTCTACTGTTACTGCTGCTTCCTCCATGGTCAGCTGTGCTGAACAGTGATCCGTTACGTGTGTGTGAGCGAGTACTCAGATGATGTGCAGAAATCTGGATGGCAGAGCTGTGTCTTAGTAAGGTACAGGTTGTGTCTAAGGATTTCTTTTTGTCAGCTACTTTCCCTTGCCCGTCTCCTGTTTCCATATATGGGTGGGTTTAAACTAGTATAGCACGGATCTGGTTTGAAAATAATCCCCGGTCACATGACCACACTGTGGTAGTTTTGGTGAGAACTTGAAGACGGCTGGTCATGTACTGTCATTTCTGAATGTGACGTTTACTGCTGGACAGTGGTGATACTGCAACTGCAACTGTTTCTATACTGGTGGTAGTGCTACTGCAGCTATTGATGTGCTGGAAACGATTGTAGCTGCTGTGCTGGCAAGACCTCTACTGTTGCTGTGCTGGCAAGACCTCTACTGTTGCTGTGCTGGCAAGACCTCTACTGTTGCTGTGCTGGCAAGACCTGTACTGTTGCTGTGCTGTTGTTTTCGCTAATGTTGTTGTTGCTGCTGCTGTTGCTGTTTCAGGGGTATTTTCCGCAGTGGCGGCGTGGTTGCTCTTATTGCAGCGGGTTGTTCTGCCAAGGTCTCCATATGCAAAGTGATCTGTTGGCTGATGGACGGATGCCGGGATGGTTCAGAAATGAAAGGTATACGTTTTTAATTAACTAGCACCCCTGCACTGTCAGCACCCCCAACCCCTGCCCTGTTAGCACCCCCAACCCCTGCACGGTTAGTACCCCCAACCCCTGCACTGTTAGTACCCCCAACCCCTGTACTGTTAGTACCCCCAACCCCTGGACTGTTAGTACCCCCAACCCCTGCACTGTTAGTACCTCCAACCCCTGCCCTGTTAGCACCCCCAACCCCTGCACTGTTTGCACCCCAACCCCTGCACTGTTAGTACCCCAACCCCTGCACTGTTAGTACCCCAACCCCTGCACTGTTCGTACCCCCAACCCCTGCACTGTTAGCACCCCCAACCCCTGCACTGTTAGCACCCCCAACCCCTGCACTGCTAGTACCCCCAACCCCTGCACTGTTAGTACCCCCAACCCCTGCACTATTAGTACCCCCAACCCCTGCACTGTTAGTACCCCCAACCCCTGCAATGTTAGCACCCCCCCCCCCCCCCCCCCCCCCCAATCACACAGCACCCATATTTGCATGGAATAGCATTGTATAATAGGAGAATTGGGCATGGAACAGCTGCTGTTACTACTACTACTGCTGCTGCTGCTGCTGCTTTTGCTCCTGCTGTTGCTTCTGCTGTTGCTCCTACTGCTGCTGCTGCTGTTGCTGCTGCTGCTATTGCTGCTGTTGTTGCTGCTGTTGCTGCTGCTATTGCTGCTGTTGTTGCTGCTGTCGCTGCTATTCCTGCTGTTGGTACTGCTCTTGTGTCTGCTATTGCTGTTGCTACCGTTACTGCTGTTTTTGCTGTTGTTGCTGCTACTGCTTTTGTTGCTGATGTTGCTGCTATTGCTGCTGTTGGTATTGCTGCTGTGTCTGCTATTGCTGTTCCTATCGTTGCTGCTGTGGTCGCTGTGTCTGCTGTTGCTACGGTTGCTGTTGCTGCTGCTTCTGCTGTTGCTACTACTGCTGTTGTTTCCGCTGCTGCTGCGGCTGCCGCTGTTGTTGTTATTCCTGCTGTTTCTGCTGTTTCCGTTGCTGCTGTTGCTGCTGTTGTTGTTGCTGCTCTTGCAGCTGCTACTGTTGTTGCTGCTGTTGCTGCTGCTGCTGTTGCTGTTGCTGTTGTTGTTGCTGTTTCTGTTGCTGTTGTCGCTGTTGCTGCTGCTTTTGCTCTTGCTGTTGTTTCTGCTGTTGGTGCTATTGGTCTTGCTGTTGTTGCAGCTATTTGAATTCTATATTCTCACGATGGTACCATCGCCAATAAGCTATTGTTGCAGCTATTGTTGCTGCTGTTGTTGCTACTAGATTTGCTGTTGTTTATGGTTCAGAGGTGATTTCTCGACACATTGCTGTGTTTGCTGCTACTGCTGTAGGTACTTCTGCCATGGTATTGCAGGACATCTTCTAGTTGTGGAAATGATTTGTTTGGGTGACTGAACAGAAGACTGGATGGTTCATATTGGAAAGGTACAGTTTGTTTGTAATTTTATTTCCTGACACATCTCTTAGCCCCCCCCCCCCCACTCCCCTCCACTCCCCTTTCTCCCCCACTCCCCTCTCTCCCCTCCACTCCCCTCTCTCCCCTCCACTCCCCCTCTCTCCCCCACTCCCCCTCTCTTCCCCACTCCCCCTCTCTCCCCCATCCCCTCTCTCCCCTCCACTCCCCCTCTCTCCCCCATCCCCTCTCTCCCCTCCACTCCCCCTCTCTCCCCCATCCCCTCTCTCCCCTCTCTCCCCCTCTCTCTCCCCCATCCCCTCTCTCCCCCATCCCCTCTCTCCCCTCCACTCCCCCTCCCCCACTCCCCACTCCCCTCTCTCCCCCCTCCCCCACTCCCCCCTCCCCCACTCCCCCCCTCCCCCAATCCCCTCTCCCCCTCCCCCACTCCCCCCCCTCCCCCACTCCCCTCCGTCTCCCATCCCCTCTCTCCCCCACTCCCCTCTCTCCCCCCTCCCCCATCCCCTCTCTCCCCCACTCCCCTCTCGCCCCCATCCCCTCTCTCCCCCACTCCCCTCTCTCCCCCTCTCTCTGCCACTCCTCTCTCTCCCCCATCCCCGGCAGGAGTCAAAGATCCAGTGTAATTGTATTGTAGACTTTGTAGTCAGTATGGTGCACATTGGAATGACTTTATTTCCAAATTTCCCTTCTACTCATCTCACTCTCTCATATGTTTTACTCCGTGTGTTGTCCATGCATCATGACCTGGAGTGTTGAACTATGAATGTTTAGACCACTCCTTCATACAGCACTGTGTGTACACCTAGGTGTGTGTGTGTGTGTGTGTGTGTGTGTGTGTGTGTGTGTGTGTGTGTGTGTGTGTTTCCGTTCTGCGGCCGGGTTCAAGCGTCACAACTGCAATCGTGGTGCGAGACCATCTGCTGCTGAGAGAGCAGCTCTGCCCCTCAGCTGCCCACGTTGTAAACGCAATTTCCGCCGGCAGCAGGACCTAGCCAGACATTCGCGGTCCTGCTTGTGATCCGTGTCCCGTTTTCTGGTCCCCTTTCCATTGGGGTGACACTTGCCCCTCTGGGCAGTCATGCTGCTAGTAGTAGTAGTAGTAGTAGTAGTAGTAGTGTGTGTGTGTGTGTGTGTGTGTGTGTGTGTGTGTGTGTGTGTGTGTGTGTGTGTGTGTGTGTGTGTGTGTGTGTGTGCCTTCACCTGCAACTCTGCTTATCCGCCTGCACAATGCTGTTGCTGTTGCACCTGATGTTGCTGTGGCTGTTATTGCTGTTGATGCTGTTGCTAGCTCGGTGACTTCTTTCTCCTGTTGTTGTTGCTGCAGCTGCTGTTTCTGCGGCTGTTATCGCTGCCTTTGTTGTTGTTGCTGCTGGTTCTGCGACTGTTATCGCTGCCTTTGTTGTTGTTGCTGCTGGTTCTGCGGCTGTTATTGCTGCCTTTGTTGTTGTTGCTGCTGTTTCTGCGGCTGTTATCGCTGCCTTTGTTGTTGTTGCTGCTGGTTCTGCGGCTGTTGCTGTGCGTGCCATGGCTCATGTTTCTTCAGGTGCTGTTGTTATGGTTACCTGTGCTGTGGATGATCAGGTTGCTGGTGTAGGAGACCTGAACATTACTGGCTACTGTTCATTACTAGAAGGTAAGGTTTTCTGAGGATGTGTGTATGTCTATACAGAACTGCTCTTGTCAACCACTACCAGCACAATATACTGAAGTGCCACGTAGAAAGGCATGACCTGTATAGAAGTGTCATGACTGGAATAGAAGCTGATTTTCCAAAGCTCAGTCATGGCACAGAATCCTGATTTGAACGTAATCACATGTACTAGCTGACTACATGTGTGCCAATGTATGCTGTACACTGTACATTGATGATGTTCACATGTAGAACTGCATGTTTTCAATAGAAGCATAACTTGAATAGAAGCATGGTTTGAACCCCGGCTTATACGGCTTATGTAGAGTAGTGCTGAATGAAATCCAGTCACTTCACTCAAGTACACGCCTGCTGTTGTGCAGTCACAGACCTGTGAACACTGAGCTGCGGTGTGATGCAAGGCGCGAACTAGAGTCACTCTATTAGCAGTACTGTACACACATTAGCAACACTGTACACACATTAGCAACACTGTACACACATTAGCAACACTGTACACACATTAGCAACACTGTACACACATTAGCAACACTGTACAAACATTAGCAACACTATACACACATTAGCAATACTGTACACACATTAGCAACACTGTACACACATTAGCAACACTGTACACACATTAGCAACACTGTACACACATTAGCAACACTGTACACACATTAGCAACACTGTACACACATTAGCAACACTGTACACACATTAGCAACACTGTTTTTTTTTTGTTTTTTTGTTTTTGTTTTTTTATTGGGAACACAGCCCTACAAAGAGACATGTGGAGACAAACACAAGACAAGACACAGGGGATGTAGGGACGACGTGCCGATGTACAGGGAGCAACTCGACCGACCAGGGGTCTCGGCGTTAGCGTTGCAACCTGGCATCGAAAAAAAGGGGGGGGGTGCATGGTCAGGTAGCAAAAATAATAATTTGGTGCGAGAAAGGGGGCTAGTATTGCACCAAATAATAATTATAAATACGTGTAATGACTAAACCAGGAGGGAAAATGAAGAAAGAGAACAATAATCATAACAAGCAAGTAGTAGTAGAGAGGTAAATACTAAATGGGTCTCAAATCTCAATATCATCGTCACAGATACTGTGTGGACCACAGCCATCTCTTTCGGATTAGATCCTTACATACGTTGACCTTGAAGGTTTGGAGGCGTCTTGAATGAGGCTCGTGAAGCAGGAGGTCCGCAGGCAGGTTGTTCCAGGGTGTGATGGCGAAGAAGGGGAAGGATCGCAGGAGGTAGTCAGGGGCTGTGCGAGGGGGTGTCCACTTCAGCTGAAAGGCATGGTGCGTCTGACGTTTTTGCCGTGTGCACATGCTAGCTACGGCAGGGGGCTTGGTTGGTGGCAGCATGGCCTTTACCTGGGGAGGCCCTGGAATGTAGTGCAGCTTGAACAAGTATGACAGGGCTGCCACCATCCGACGAAGCTGAAGACTTTGGAGGATGGTTCCAGGTCCCAGGAAATGCAGGGCACGTTGCTGAACCTTGTCCAGCTGGGCCATGTTAGTTGCGGCTGCGCTCGACCAGGCCAGTGGGGCATATTCAAGTAGGGGTCGCACGAATCCCTTGTAGACCGTCACTCGACCATGGTCGTCCAGGATGGGTGCTGCCTTTCGTAGGAAACCCAGCCTTTGGGAGGCGCGCAGTGCAACACTGCGAGTGTGCGCTCTGTAGGAGAGAGTAGGGTCGAGCATGACTCCCAGTAGCTTCAGGGTATCTGTCTCCTGGAGTGCTTCACCTCCAAAGGTGACTGGTGGAGTGCAGGGGGGAACGTGCTTGCGATGTAGAGTCATGCGCTGTGTCTTGGCTGGCTCAAAACAGACACGCCACTTGCGGCCCCACTCCTCAAGACTGTTGAGGGACCCTTGGAGGGAGGCGGTGGACTGTTGGAGATCGTCAGTTGGCTGTACTAAGCTGTAGAGTGTGGTGTCGTCTGCAAAGCTGCTCAGCTGCGTTCCTGGAGTTAAACATTGTTCAATGTCACAGGTGTATAGAAGGAAGAGGCTGGGTCCTAGGATGCTGCCTTGGGGGACACCAGCCTGGATGGGTTGAGCATTTGACGTCTGACCTCCAACCACAACGCGGATGTTTCGGTTGGTGAGGTAGTCCTGTAGCCATACAAGCAGGCGTCCGTCGACGCCGGCCTGCTTTGCTTTGTACAGCACTCCTGTGTGCGATACCCGGTCAAACGCACCGGCAATATCCACGGCGAGGACCTGGACACAACCGCCAGTACTTATGGTGTGGACCCATTCATGTTGGAGAGCCGTTAAGATATCTGCGGTTCCTCTACCACGTCGGAATCCAAACTGGCTGTTTGGCAACACCTCATGCTTCTCTAGGTAGTTAACCAGTTGCGTGTTTACAATGCCCTCCATGACTTTCGACATGATCGTTAGCAGTGATATTGGTCGGTAGTTAGATGCCAAAGATCTGGAGGACCGTTTGTGAACTGGGACTACATGGGCAAGTTTCCATGCCCCAGGTTGCACACCGGCTGAGAAGCAGAGGGCGAAGAGCTTTGCCAGTGGGTCTGCAAGTTCAGATGAGCACATCTTGAGCACACGAGCAGAGATGCCATCCGGTCCAGTTGCTTTTGATACAGCCAAGTTCGCCAAGTGCCGTTTGACCGTTGCTGCGCGGAAGTGAATGTGCTTTAGCGTGGCATAGGCAGGTCGTTGCAGGTCAGGCAGGTCAGCAGCACAGAGGTCGTTATTGCCAAGGCTACACTTGTTCGCAAAATGCGCTGCAAAGCACTCGGCTTTCTCACGAGAAGAGTGGAACTCTTGTCCTGCATGGTTGGTCAGCAGGGGGATGTCAGAGCAACGTCCCTTGCCTGCTGCGCTCTTGATGGTTGACCACCACTCTTTGTCCCGGAGGGAACCTGCAGTAAGCTTGTTGCGAATTCTACGTTGATGTGCTAATCGCGCTGCATGACACGCTTCCACTTCGTGGTTAACAGTTGTGATGTACTGGACCTTGTGGTTATCGTTGCGGGGATTGCGTCGCCACAGCTTCCATGCCCTCTCCTTGGCATGATTGGCGTTAGAACAGTCCGGTGTCCACCATACAGGGTTGGATTGGTGCACCACAAGCTCTTTGGATGGTATGAACTGTTTCATTCCATGCATGATGACATCAGTTACGCGCTGACAGGACTGCTCCGCACACCCATGGATCTTGGCGGGCCAGTCTATGTTGCGGAGGTAGGCTCTCAGGCGGTGCCAGTCAGCAAGGGCGTATTTCCAAACCTGTCGAACAGCAGGATCTTCGCGTCGTGGATGCTGTTGGAGAAACTCGGCAATGATAACGGCATGATCAGATCGTCCAAGTGGTGCATAGGCTGTGGTGCATACGGGGTGTGGGAAATCGGAGATGATAAGATCGAGAGTATTGTTGCCGCGGGTTGGCTGGGTGACATGCTGGACAAGATGATGTGCTGCGCAGACTTCCTCCAGGCATTCACCGGCTCGGGTAGTCTTGCTACTCTGTAGCCAGGCTGAATTATGCACGTTGAAGTCCCCTGCAATTATCACATTGCTGCCAAGACGGCGGACATCATCCAAAGTGTTGTCTAGGTAGTCCATCAGGCTGGTGTCTGTCTCTGCACAAGAGCCAGGCCGGTAGAGCGCACCCAGAACAGTCTTTGTTCCGGAGTGCATTGCCAGGGAAATCCATAAGAGCTCGTGATCACGGCAATCTATATCGTCGTGGTGGGTAATGGATAGTTCACTCCTAGCCCACACTGCCACACCGCCACCATGGGCATCTCGATCCTTCCTTATAGGGGGTGAGTATCCTGGGATGGTCAACTCATGGGAGGAATTATCTGAGCAGAGCTTCGTTTCTGTTACTATTGCCACGTCTACATTATACTGCAGGATTGCATGCTGCAGGGCACCTATCTTGTTGCTCAGGCTGAATGCATTAGTCACTAGCAGTCGCAGAGGTCTGGAATCCATCATTGGGCATGAGAGGACTGGGCATCCTGCTGGGGTGGCTGCTCATCATGCTGGTCATGTTGTGGCGCAGATCCGTTTGATCTCTTCAGGTCTCCAGCCTCTGGTGGGGAGAGGTGGGAGTTTCTCCGTTTTTGGCCACTGTGTAGTGGAGTGGAGATGAAGTCTGCCGGTGGTGGTGGCGGCGGTGGTGGTGGCGGCGGGGAGGAGGAGGACGTTGAACCCGGCTGCTGTTGTTGCTGTTGCTGTTTAGTCAGAACACTGGCAGAGGTGCTGTTTCTGCTGCTGTGGCTGCGACTGCTGGTGCTGCCCTCAGAGCTGGTTTCTAAGAACCTCCATGGCCTGCAGTATACGGGCCTTGGCCAGAAGTTGGGCGCTGTCACTGTGGAGAGTGAAGTGGCATCGATGGTCACTCTTGCGGAAGCACGCCCACTTTCTGACAGCCATACACTGCAGGTGTGGACAGGAATGGAGGCGCCCAGGAACTCACTCCTGGTTTTGATAAATTGCCTGAAGTGGCTCTCAGTGCTATCTGTGGCGATATTGCCCACATACACCACAGCACGCTTGTTTTTGGGTCGTTCTGAGGAAACAAGCTTCCATGAGTCATCCTCAATAACATGGAAGATTGGCTTGGATTCCGTCACATCTGTCTGGGACTTGGTGGGGATGGCATCTTGGTCGCCATCCCCTTCACACTCGTCACTGCTAAGGGAGATGTTGCAGGGGACGCTGCCATCCTCTTCACACTCGTCACCGCTACGGGAAATGTTGCTGGGGACGCTACGGGACATCGTGGTGTCATGCTTTCGAGTACCTGTACCCGCACTGCCTGCTTTGGTACGCCTACGCGAAGGTTGATCCGCACCCGTACCCTGCTGTGTTTGAACTGGCCTTGGGGTAGCTTTTCGCAAGGCAATGGCGGATTCTCGGAGAGACACTAACTCTTCATTCACATCTTTGAGCTGCCTTGACAGCTCGTCAACCCGTTTGTTTAGGCGCGTCTCCCGATCAGCCGATTCCGAGACAAATGCGGCCAATGTTTTCAGGATTTCTACTACAGATACCTCAATGCCCGGCAACGACGCCATCAGCCTCAGCTCTTCATCACTCAGGGCAGTCGCGCGAGTGTTTGTTCTCGTGGTGGCCCCAGGCATGGCGGAGGTCACCAATTTCTACGAGCACTACTAAAAACACTTACTGCTACCCTACGGAAACTACCTCCAGTCCGGCCTGATGCCGGCTGGGCTCTACCAAGAAAGATTTACGGGAGCTTCAAAAAGTGCAACCTACCCCTACTGAACTACGTAAAACTCATCTGTACACACATTAGCAACACTGTACACACATTAGCAACACTGTACACACATTAGCAACACTGTACACACATTAGCAACACTGTACACACATAAGCAACACTGTACACACATTAGCAACACTGTACACACATTAGCAACACTGTACACACATTAGCAACACTGTACACACATTAGCAACACTGTACACACATTAGCAACACTGTACACACATTAGCAACACTGTACACACATTAGCAACACTGTACACACATTAGCAACACTGTACACACATTAGCAACACTGTACACACATTAGCAACACTGTACTACTCCCAGCTGTATATGTATAGACAATGTACACTGGACACTCTGCCCACGTAACTGCATGTGCCTGCAGTACTCCACATGTCATGTGCAATACTCCCAACCGGTTTACAACTGATCCCGTGTTCTGTTTTCAAACGGGTCCAAGTACCCCCCACCCCCCACCCCCCCCCCCCCACACACACACCCCGTAACAGAATTGTATAAGGAAACAATTAAAGGAGTACGGTATTCGTTAGCCTTGAGGTTGCGCACAACGTATGGACTTTTTCGTATTGGGTCGATGCTAGCGCTGCGGGTACGAAGAGAGTGAAGACAGGGAGTAGTATGTACAATGTACTGCATAGGACGGTGGGGGTGAGTGGATAAGTCTCACAACCACTGGTACAAGTGACGAGAAACGCCATTAGCTGCATCCATGCACCCCTTTGTGCCTGGTCACAAGTTCCCATTTGACTGTGGGTTGCAGCGCTTGGGTTTACCGGGTGTTAGCGGCCGTCATGAGTTCCATTCGGGAACGGACACGATAATTTACTTTTTTACTTACTCCATATGACGAAAAATAGTTTCGTAGATCTGGTCTCTTTCGGTCACGTTTGGACGAATTTTCGCGGCAACTTTCGTTTCTTGAACCCGGACGGGCATGGTCTTACGAATTTTCGTTGTGCGCAACCCCTCTACTGTCGGGTACCAGAGAACAGGAAGTGTAGTAGCTGAGACCGGTGCTGAGACCGTTGCTATCTTTCAAGTACTGCTATCCATCCATGCACAGTCAAATCATCATGTATACATCGGTATGCCCTTCTTGCTGAGATCCAGGAAATGCAGAAATTAATGTTTGTTCTTTGTAACCTGCCAATGCTGTTATCCTTTAAAAACAAGCATACAAACTGATGGTGGTAGTTCCTGCTATGTAATCATGATTTCGTGTATCAAGTCACTTGGTCGGTGATGATGTAATACGATGATGTCATTGTTTTGGTGTCTTCTGTATGATTGTGTTGAATGCAGAATGCAGAGGATTGTGAAGATGTACATTGTACATGTCTATCTGTTCAGACAGTACACAAGGTGAATGAAGATGGAACATATCCATTTCATCAAAATTGTTCTCTTCTCAATTGCTTTATTTTGATCTTGGAACTGCAACCTTCCTTGTTAGTGAAGTAACGTTGTACTCCCTCCCACCACCCGTCCCCTCCTCCTTATCACCCCTCCCCCTTATCACCCCTCCCCCTTATCACCCCTCCCCCTATATCCTTCCCCAACCACACGAATCATTGTGTATTTTAAATGTTACACACCGCTAGGCTAGGCAAGTTTTCATGGTATTTTCTTGCGGTAATAACTGCTGGTGACTACTTCAATTTCACTAGAGAAATGAAAAGACCATGGTTTACCGGTACTTGATGTGTGTGTTTGTTCCTGATCACATTCATACACAAATACTCGTCTGCGTATCCATGTTGCACTATTATAACTACTGGCCTCGTTTTTGCTGCTGTCCATGTAATGGACTACAAAAATTATTATTTTTCACTCCATTCTGCACCCGTTTTCTTCCTACTGTTTCCCATAACTCAGGTGATATGTTATTACCTATGATGTGTTTGACTGCTTCTCTTGCCACATATAGCTGATACTAGTGATAGTAAAACTGGATGCTGTTCTCCAATTCATGAATGTATATTATTATCATTAAACTGAGTACGGTACTCGAGTACTTGTGTAGTTCAATATCTCCACACTGTAGACTGGTTTGTGTACTGGCACACTGCATTGTTCAGTGGACAGTGTAGCGTCATGCTGGTCACGTGACCTCTGTGCTGTTAAAGCTGATTCAGACCTCATTTCGCGTACTGGAAAATCATCGCGCAATTACCCAAGACGTTGAGCTCAAGTCAATGTTTTCGCGATGCTGCGACGCGTTTCCCGTACACGAAATGAAGACTTCATGTGAATCAAGCTTTAGACACCGATGTGCGGTGTTGTGTGTGTGTGTGTGTGTGTGTGTGTGTGTGTCCTCGTCGTCGCTGGAAGGACACCAATCACACGGACCTATCCGTGGCTGGAGTGCGTAACTGGTTTGAGTTGGCAAGCGATCGTGGAGAGTGGCGTGGAGTGGTGACAGCAGCAGGTGAGGACAAGGAACCCGCCCCGAAGAGCATCGAGTGCCCAACCTGCAACCGTCTGTTCCGCCGTAGTTCCGACATGGTCCGGCACAAGTGTTCAGCAATCCGTCAGCTCCCGGTATCGGAGCAGCCTGGATCAGTACAGTGTCCAACATGCAACCGATGGCTACGTAGCAGAGGAGGCTTTGCGGTGCATAAGTGTCGGCTAGGCGATGTCGACCAGCCGCCGGCCCCTGCCCCTGCTCCTCTTGTTGTTCCTGGTGTAACTTGCACCAACTGTCAGCGTTCATTTAAATCGGCTGCGGGTCTCAAGCGTCACCGTTGTGGAACCTGTCCAAAGCGCCCTACTGTGGCTGAACGCCAACAATTCAAGTTTCACTGCCAAGTTTGCCACAACCGACGGTTCCGGAGGCGGCAAGATCTGGAACGCCACTTGGAGCATTGCCTTCCTCCCCCCTAACCTCTCTGACAGTACCTCCCTTTGGGGAGCGGCGTGGCCATTTCTGGCAGCTGTCAATAGTAGTAGTAGTAGTAATAGTGTGTGTGTGTGTGTGTGTGTGTGTGTGTGTGTGTGGGTGTGTGTACATGTGAGTGTGTGTACATACGTGGGCATGCTTGCAGGATCGTGCTTGCGTGTGTGTGTGTGTGTGTGTGTGTGTGTGTGTGTCCACAACCACGAGATCTCACCCGGCATGTGACTCGCCAGCATTGACTCTCTTACCCTGACTCTGGCTCCCTGTCACAAGGGAGTCACGTGGCCCTATGGGGCAGTCATGCTATAGTAGTAATAGTAGTACAGTCAGACCTCGTTTATCCGGTCCTCGTTTATCCGGATCCCTCGCCATCCGGAAGAAAATCGCTGGTTACCGATGTGCAGCATATGTTATGCATACAACATAACCGGACCTCGTGATCTGCATACCGGTGCATGACTTTGTGTACAAACTGGTTAAAATGTGTACAAAATGCTTCGTCGTATCCGGCATGTGGCTGGCTAGCGCCTGCAGAAGCTAGTATCAATGAGTTGTACAAGCAAATGAGGTCCTTGACCTGCTGGGTGTGTCCGGACAGCACTCAGTTGCATGCACTTGTCATTTTTCTCCTTGTTTTACATACTGGGCACGCTAGTTGTACTGCATAGGACCCGTCTACATGTATGTATGATGTCACTGCTTTTGACATGCCACATGCATAATAAAAAAGTATGTAGTGTGTGTGTGTGTGTGTGTGTGTGTACACGTGTATGTGTGTGTGTGCGCGCCTGTGTGTGTGTGTGTGTGTGTGTGTGTACACCTGTGCGTGTGTGTTGGGGGGGGGGGGGGGATGTACGGTATGACTTTACCCAAATAAGAATGTATAAACATGCATGAGAGAATGTAAAATATAATAATTGTTGACATGGTTACTACATGTGTGCTAGTAGTATACAAAAGAAAGATTTAATTTTAATGGGACCATAAAGTGAACAATATTGGACGCGGTGGATCGGGTGCCAGCCGACACCAATTCGTCACGGAGTGTCGTGCTTTAGCTCACTGGCCGCATTTAAAATGAATTATATCTTGTCATTGACTCATACATGTATATCGCTGGCGTGTTGTTGGGCAAAAGTGCGTATACCAGTGGAAGGAAGAACGCATCGACGTGCACTGATATCGCATAGATATACTTCTTTTTGAAGTACTTTTTGAATACCGGTATGCCTCTTATACGGGTAATCACAGACCATGATATCACTGGCCTGACACAACAACTAAAGAAAAAGCAAAACAAAACAAACAATTTTTTTAAATAAAAAGACAATGAAATTTGACAATCTGCACACAATGACAACTCCATTCATAGATATCAGTGTGGAATTCCTGAGTGTGGATATCAGTGTGGAATTTCGCACTGAAAGGTGGGTTAAGCCAAATAACGACGTTACGTACAACCAGCGCCAGTACGTCAGCGCAAGATTTTCAACGCTGCCAAACTGAGAGCCTGTGAAGTAAGTTATTATTCAAACATATTCGCCGGATGAGTACGCGTGGCCCAAGCACCATGGGGACCCACAAATACAAACCAGCATAATTATAATTATTCCCTGAGCAATACAGGCAAGCAAGCAAGCTAGCAAAGATAAACCTGAGAGGTAAAGTTAGTTTAATAGCGTGACTACAAACCAGTCATTACAGTGGAATTTCGGTGAGCTGTCTTGTCCGTGATACATGTATCGCCATTCTGTCAAATGCCTTTCTGTGAAGTGTCTTTCGGTAAAGTGTCCAGTCGGTGGGTTGTCCATTATGTGACTTGTCTTGCGGTGAAGTGTTTTTCAGTGAATTGTCATTAGGTGAATGGTCGGTAATGGCAATAAAAGAGGAAGGGAGCGTCTCAGCTTCCTCGGACCAAGACCATTCGACTCAGCAGTCAGCACCTCGAAGATTACAACTGGTGGAAATTTGATTTCTGCCCAATCATCTGTCTGAGGCAAGTTACAGGTACAGTTGCTGGTGTTGTCTGTCGGCAAAGTGTCCTCGGTGCCATGAAGACTTCAGCAGTTCAGGCAAAACACATGGTTCGTTTTTCTGGGGCTGATACTATTATTATTATTAGTAGATCAACAATACAATCACACTAAGGGCGCGTTCGAATTGTCACTCTTTGACTTTTCAAGGAGTTACGGTTTTCTGAAGAGGTGGCCTTATATTGGCCTCTTCAGAAAAACGAAGCTCCTCGAAACTCCTCGAAACTCATCCGATGGGAAGGTGGATTAGTTTCGAAGAGTTTGGAATAGCTACGTCACGTAGACTGTGACGTAGTACGTACGTGGAGATGGTCGATCTGATCGGACGTCATCATCGCCATGACAATTCCACTGAAAAACTCTAAAAAAAATTAATTTTTTTAGAGAAAAATGATAGAAACCGTTCTCGCACACTTTTTTTAATCTCTTTATAAAATTTTGACGAACGCGCCCTAAAAGTAAAACTAATGACTGTAATGATGACCCTGTACATCATGTACTAGTAGTAGTACATAATCATGTACATGTCACAGTCAGTGACTCAGTGGTCCACGGCACAATCATAATCGTTCACAAGCCACCAGGGCCAGGCACCAGCCTGACCCTGCGCCAGGTCTGGGGGCTGTACAATCATTAGCCTGTACTGAATGTAGCCTAGGACTAGAGAGTCGTCGCCTTTTACCATGTTTACGAATACGACTCCTGACCTTGGCCTGACCACTGCTAGCTGAGTGCTCATTATTATGTATGTATTACTGCACAAGGACCAGTGCAATACCGGCCGATATCTGCACGAACGGCGAAGCCGTAAGTGCAGATATCGACGCCGGTATTGCACGCGTCCGAGTGCAGTAATACATTTATCGCACCCCTGCCACCACACAGTCTGTCACCACACACTTGACACAGTCTGCTACCCCTAGCATGCTGCATGCAACCCTGCTATCATTCACAGTCATACAACACAGCACAACCAGTCGCGTTCATTTTTAGAGGAACACTTCTTTCGAGTAGCTGCTGTCCATCACGGGAGATCCTGTAAGTAGCGGGACAGCTTGCTCATGTCGTCGTCGTTGATGGGGTGTTTGTGCTCCACCGCTTTGATTTCTCCCGCTTTCTTTGGCTTCATGAATCATGAGGAAGGCCTTCAATGCAATGTTTGCGTCCTTGAACGCTGGGTCACTGTGGACGTTCATGGGCCGCTTCAACTCGACTAGCTTGCGATGTATTGCGGAACGGAAACCGAGCAAGCTTGATGCAGAGTAGAACTTCACTCCAGCTTTCTTCGGACGCAATTCGACGTATGCATGTCGCAGAATGTAAGCTAGGTCGCTTGCCGTAACCGTACTCAGGTCACAGCGACGCCCTGTGTCTTTACTACTCGTCGAATAAGCGGAGCCATTTGTCAGTTGCCTGCTCTGTGTTTTTGTTTTTCTGCTCAGAAACGAGGCTGTTCGATGGCGGCGTCGGACAGTTTCTCAAATCGGCTGTCGACAGTCTTCTCCAATACTTGGGCGTCCGCTGTCTTGACTCTCACGGAGCTTGTGAAGTAGTTGACTTGGCGGACGCAAGCCGGGTCCACATTCGCTTCCGCGACATCGACAGCGTCCTCGACCAATTATTTTGGTGTGCTGCAGCAAGTCAGCAGCGACTCCCTGGCCTGGCGGAGCGACTCGCAATATTCCCAGTACTCGTACACCGCCAGCCAATGACTATGTGGATGCACTGCAGTGCGATATTGCACTCCGGCGAGTGAGCGTGCAAATAACCTATATCTGCACGCTCACTTCGAAGCGAGCGTGCAAATAACCTATATTTGCACGCTCGCTTCGAAGTGAGCGTGCAAATATAGGTTATTTGCACGCTCACTCGCCGGGGTGCAATATCGCACTGCAGTGCATCCACATTGGCTGGCGGTGTACTGGGGAATATTGCACGCTCAGTAAGGCCGCTGATTGGCTCAAACCATGGAAACACTCACGTGGGGTGCGATAAGTTCATGTACAGTCAACTTCGCTACGACACTCGGTGGGGCATAAGAAAAGTGTCGTTATTCACAAAGTGTCGTTATACCCGAAGTCTCATTATGTATTACAGTGCAGTTGGATGGGACTTTGCTCTGGGCATAGAAATTCTGTCGTTATTCGCGAATTGTCGTTATATCCGCAGTCGTTATTAGCCAAGTAGACTGTACATGACTGTACAGTCAGTCATACCGTGATCAGGGTGATACAGTATGAAAACCACAAAATCTGAGCTGCAAGAACGGAACGCTAGTCCGGGCGGTAAAAAAAAGCCTAGAAAACAGTCGTTACCTTTCCTCACTAGTGCACGATCTTCGATCGATATAGACGTAGTCTATATTGATAGAATCGGTGTAGGTCTGAGTTTTTGTGGCAACCAGAAACATTTATCCAACCCTAGCCCACAAACTGTGTTGGTTTGTCGGGCTAGGGGTCGTGTCGTGTAAACTAGATAAGTGGACAGCACTGCTCGGTGAGAGAGAACGGCTGCGTAGTCCTAATCTGCTGACACACACGATTGAGAGTATCATGTACCCGATTAGCAGTTCCAAAAATCTGGCACAGGCCAGATTTCGCAATATGAGTAGTCGTTCTCCGACGTCTACCAGTGATCATGTCCAGGTTCATCATGCTGCGTCGGCTAGTGTCGACTACCCTGTCGCAGGTCCGCTCATGGCCACATCATCACCAACACAATCAAGTCCAAGGAGGTCGTCGCTACCCGATGCAGTTGTCAGGTTTGCAGAGATGCTGAAGAAACGCTACGTTGGTGCTAAGGTACTGTTGGGCAAGGGTATGTGCGCTAAACCGAACAGACGAGCGCTAGATAAGATGTTTGTGAATGTCGTTGTCATACCTCGTGAAGACCTGGCATCACTGAATGAACAAACATTCTTCGGTTCGCAAAGCGATGTGCAGAAGTTGAGCCATGTCTTCTCGCGGGTTGCGGACAAAGTGCAGCACGTGCAACTGGCCAATATGTTTGACTTTGACGGGGAAGACATTGATGAAGACGAATCAGTTCGTGTATTGGCTGTTGCATGTGCTGGCGCTGGCAAAACGACCATCTTCGTGTTGAAAGGTCCGCTGGACTGGGCAAGAGGTTTAATGTGGCACGAGTTTGACATTGTGAGTGCGTTAGCATTGCGTGATGCAAGTGTTCGACATGCCAGAAATGTTGTTGATCTGTTACAGCTAGAGCGCTATGGAATTGTAGATGTGGAGGAGCAAAAAGAAATTGCTTCCTTTGTTCATGCCAATCTGAAACATGTGTGTGTGATTCTGGATGGGTTGGATGAAACTGTGCTTGGTGACTGCAGTGATTTTGTGCGTGGCATTATTCGTGGTGAGGAGTTGAAAGGCATTCGACTGCTTCTCACGTCACGCCATTCTGCAGAAGTGATGAAACTGTCTGTTTCATGTCCATTTGATAGGCGGGTTGAAGTACTGGGTTTCACCAAAGGCAATGTTCGCGAGTATGTGAACAATGCTCTCCCATGCACAGAGGCTAGCAGGCTACTAGAGAAGGTGGATGCTGATCCCAGCCTCTCAGCTATTATGCAAACACCTTACTTCACACAGTCGACGTGTGATGTGTTTCGTAGTTGTGGCTCTGTACCTTCATCACTGTTTGGTATCTTCATGTCGTTGATACTGAGTATGATTCGACAGAACACTGAGAGTGCGTATCCAGACTGGGTGTCTGTGCCACGCTTCCTGCAGGAGCAAATTCTTGAGTTGGGTCATTTTGCTTTTGTATCGTTAATGAAAAAGAAAGTAGTGTTCAGTGATTCTGATCTAGATGCAGAGCAGGTTTCTAGAGAAAGTCGATCACTTGGTGTTCTTGTGGCTTGTGAGTCACTGTCATACCCGTCCATCACTCAATGGCAATTCAGCCATCTTTCAGTGCAAGAATGTCTTGCTTCTCTTTACATGGCATCCACTAATCCTGATGCCAGTGATGTAGAATATTTGGTGAGGCAAGTAGGAGCTCTGACGGGTCACTTGAGCACATTTTGGTGTCTTCTTGCATCACAACTGACAGCGGTCAGCAGAGAGTCGTTGATTGCATCCATTCTCACACAGCGTATCCCTGATGAAGAGGATGTGAACAAGCTGACATCATGTTGCGATGTGAAAAAGTTTCTTCGCTGCTCCGAAGATGATCTTCTTGAGGTGGTAGAGTTGCTATGTGAGCATCTTGATGAGGCAGCAGTGCAGAGTTTAGCAAGGTGTCTTCTTAAAGATCTACTGCCAGACAATGTGAGTGTGGCACAGGCCATTGAAGAAGTTCTTCCTCACTCTTTCTCGTCGTCTTTGTACGACGTAGTTCATGCTCTTTTGCAGCTGTGGCGTCGCAAAGTCCCCCGTGCCAGTATGAGAATACTGTGCACTGCCTTGAAGTTTATCAACCTGCATGCATCCAACTGTCTCCACCAGTATTTTGCATCGGAACGCACGGAAGACTCACAGGCTGCAGAACGTCTTTCTTCAGCTGCGATGGACAGTTCTGTACATTCTGTCATGACTGTTCCACCACGGGTGTCGTTTTCGCCAGCTGACGTGATGCGTGAACACTTTACTCCAGTTCGCCGCCAATTGTTGTTACTGGCTTGTCGTGTGTATGCACAGCCCAGTGCAGACACAGACAACATGACCAGCTGTAGTCAGTCTCCTTCACCTAGTCTAGAACTAGCCTTCGAACATTATGGCTTTGATTTCCGGAACGTGGCTATCTCGCCTGCTGACTGTCATCTTCTTTCGTCTGTACTGAGGAATCACAGTAGGTCTGTTAGTCGTGTGGATCTGGCAAACTGTCAGATTACTGATGATGGTTTTGAGCAACTCACTACTGGTCTAACTCATTGTCATGGGCTGGCTGAGTTCTCTCTCCCAAACAATGCACTGACTGACTGTTCTGTGGCATGTATCCATAGTGTTATCTGTGAAAACCACACAGCTCTTCAAGAACTTTCCTTAGAGGATTTGCAGCTGACATCATCTGGCTATGCTCAGCTGGTACCCGCAGTGATCACATGTCATGACCTGGTGTACCTGCACATAGGTAGTGTGTCCTGTCAGGATATCAAAACTAATGTTCTCATAGCTATCACCGTGCTGGCTTACTGTAAGTCTCTTACATATCCCCGGTTTTACTTCCCGATCGGTGATGATGGTCTTGTTCTGCTTTCTGGACTGCTGACAGGACGGCCATTTAGTACCATGTACTTGGTGCATGCGATGCTCACGCCACACAGCACTGGGGTTGTCAAACACGTTCTTCGTGTGCACTCGCAGTACCTTTCACAGCTTGACTTGAGCAACAATGATCTTTCTGACATGTTTCTGTGCAGCATTGCACCATGTCTGAAGCAGTGTAAATCACTGAAGACACTGGCGCTCTCAGAAACAGGCCTTACATCACAGTCACTTCCGGTACTCGCTGAAATTGTGTCTTCTTGTCCTGATCTCGTACTTGTTGGTCTGGAAAGGAATGACTTTCAAGCGGAGAATGACGAGGGCAGTAGGCAGTTTGCATCAGCTGTATATGAATGTCAAAACCTCTTGTTCCTTTCAGTACCAAAGCGAGAGTTAGTGAATGATCAGCTATGGAGATTACTTGACTTTGTTGCAGGCGAGAGAGCAGGTCAACTGCGGATTGATTCGCAATGACATTGTTGGGCATAACCAACAGTGAAGATAACGTGTATATGCGCAGTGGAAGGAATGCTATCGCTTGTCAGACATGTAAACATTAGACACAGAGATGAACATTATTACTATAATACACTGGTCATGTGATGTCATGTTGAACCACTGCTGGTGGTCATGTGATGTCATGTTGAACCACTGCTGGTGGTCATGTGATGTCATGTTGAACCACTGCTGGTGGTCATGTGATGTCATGTTGAACCACTGCTGGTGGTCATGTGATGTCATGTTGAACCACTGCTGGTGGTCATGTGATGTCATGTTGAACCACTGCTGGAATGGTTACTACTGTACATGGTACTGATCAGGGAAGTTGAGGAAGAGAGGGAGAGTGGGACAGGACGATATATAACACTCCAGTTGTGTCTGTTGGTGGAAACACTTGCCACACACACCTGCTGTGCGGAAGCCTGCTCGTTCAGTATAAGTTAGTGGCTTGTCTGTCCGGGAGCCACGATGGTGATTCAGCACGTTGTATTCATAAGATGAACATGTGATCATGTGATGAAATACTTTATTTTTAAGAACACTCTCTCACCATTTCACATTTTTGTGGCAGTTTTTACATTTCTGTTCCATCACTTGACTATGGCATATTATGCCTATGCCATCACATGCCTATGATGTCATAATATCTATGGTATCACTTCATCATCCTCGGCGATTCCTCGCACACGGGCCACGGCTTTGTTGTAGCTTGACTATGACATCACCAGACTCCATTATCACATGACTATGACATCATAGCATGCCAGAATTCTTTTTAGTTTCAGTACAATAATAATAATTATGTTAAGATATGTTCTCAGTTCAGAGAGTAAATTGGACATTGGAGCAGAAACTGGTGGTACGGATGTTACGCACTGACGTTGATCATGACCAGCAGTCACGTGACTGGAGAGTGAAAAGAGGTTAGATTGTTGTGTGTTGCATTACAGTTGCAGAGTTGTATATTTATGACTGGTTCACACTAGGCCGATTTTATGGTCCATGCTCCATCACCGATTCCGACATGAAACGGTTGACTGTGTCGGATGAGTCGGACTAGCTGTTCACACGCAACGGTGAGCAATTTTGCTTGTACTAGTTGAAGGCCTGTCAGCTCACACACGTATACGTACACGTGATACACAGCCGAGCTAGACCCTGGCTTTGAAGACACCAGGCATTGAAAAAATACATGTTTTGACACAAGCTACATCCAGTGCAGGGTCAGAGTTGTGAAAAGGCTGACATCTGTAGTAGAGATCCAGTGCAGCCAGCTCACCGTCTGTAACCAGGCTCTCTGCTGTCATGGTGAAAAGCCATCAGTGATTGGTTGGAGGCCCGTTCGATCCACTACATGCAAGCACTAATAATACTTGGCCTACTTTGTTATCGACCAGTACCTAGCCGAAAGCGCACACAACAAGAAACTCGTCTCAGGTATGTCTGAAACTTGTACGGCAACGTCTTCAGCACTCGCGCCGATCTTTGCAGATTTCCGTACAACTCCATAGCGGCCTAAAATCGGTCTAGTGTGGACTAGTCATAAGTAATGTTTTGCTGCACTGTGTTGTTCTTTGTATTATGTATGCTGTTGCACATGGCACTGCGCTTTGCTCTGCTGCGCTGCGCTGTGCTGCGCTGTGCTGCGCTGCGCTGTGCTGCGCTGCGCTGTGCTGTGCTGCGCTGCGCTGTGCTGCACTGTGCTGGGCTGCGCTATGCTGTGCTGTGCTGCACTGTGCTGGGCTGCACTGTGCTGGGCTGTGCTGCGCTGGGCTGTGCTGCGCTGTGCTGTGCTTTGCAGTACTGCGCTGTTTCATGCTTGCTAATATCAAGTGTGCAGTGTTTACCACACCAAGACTTCATTACTTGTTTCTCCTTACAGTAAGTTTGTATGGTGTTTTCTGGGTTGTGTGTTGCAATACAGTTATTGTGTTCTTACAAGATATAATTTATTAAAATTTTATTTTGTGTTTCTGTTACTCATTACCTGGTTTGTTTTCTTGTATGTTTCTCTGTGTTTTATTTCGGTGAAAGATTTTCAGAGATCTCAACGTACTGGCTGTTCTATGTTATTCCTCCGCGGTCATGAAGCAGAGCTGAGTGGCATTCAGTAGCATTCGTCTGCCGGGGAAAATCACAGGATTGGAGGGCAAAGATGGTGGAAGTTGTGTGCCGAACGCTCTAATGCAAGTATATCTGCCAGAAGACTGTAGTGAAGTGAGTAAGTAGACTTTCTATTGTTAATAATCTGCTATTTGTTACTACTGGTAACTGTACAATATTCACCACACATTATTGTTTGCTATTTTCACGACAAGAGACTAAGGGCCAGGTTCCACTGCGGCTCCGCTGCTCATCGTCCGCGGCTTGAAACCTCATCATTACCATAGTAACCGCGGTTCGAGCTGGAGCAGCGAGGCCGCTGCTAGCAGCGACCTTTCACTACGATTCTTGATCAAAAACTGCGAGCCGCGGTGGCGGCTCGACCTGTTTCCCTTACGTTGCATTGTTTTGTACGCAAGAATTTTATAATTCAAATTTTATTTCGTTGCGCAGGCCAGAACACGAGGTTTTTTTTATGTCGCAGGCAGGTAAAACATCATCAATAACCGTGGAGCAAATTAACCGTGGAGCTCATCATTCGCGGTACCGCGGCTGACGAGTGTCAGTGGAACCGCGCTGCTCCGCTGCATGTAGCCAAGTGCCGCGGAGCAGCCGAGCCGCGGAGCCGCAGTGGAACCCAGCCCTAATGTGAATATTGATTAACCAGAGAGAAGTCAAATTTTAACTAGGGGTCAAACGGGTGTACCTTTAACTAACGAACGGGTAATTTTCTTAACGGGCGGGTTAACGGGTACCCTTTAGCAGCCATATTATTTTTTTGCGCATTTCTCACACAAATCATGATTTTAATTTGTATATTCTCAGGTTGTATTTTGATACTACATTATGATTCGCAATTGATTCGTGTATCATAATATTATTATGGCAATGAAGGTTCCAAATGAATGTCATCCGTGCATTTGCCCAAGTACATAACTTCACAGGCAGTAACTTATAATCGTTTATGTAGATGGTCCTACAAGCTACATGTATTTTGATACATGTACGCAAATCAACTGCAGATCGATGTGATTCAAGCCGTGCAAGGACAGAGTGGTTTAGCAAAACTTCCGTGATCTCGCGCAATCCTATTTGCTATGTTCGCAGAGAACTGGTACTCGTTGCATTCAGAAGATGTTCGCGCCCATAGCTAGCTGGGGTGCCTGACACAGCTGATGTGCTGCTGCCCAGCTAGCTGCTAGTGCTACTGTAGCTTGTTGAACTCGTGAAATGAATCTTCACAAATCCGTAATCTTGTATGCAATATTTCGAACTACTTTTCAGCTCGTCGATTGAAGGAACAAACTACAACCATGTAGCTACCACCTACGGACATCACCGTTTGTGACACTCCGACTGGTCACTCAGCCTGGTGACACTAGTTCATCAAGTTCATCAAGTACTGTGGCAGGTTCGATGTCGGAGAACCATCGTAACTTTCTAGTTACTCAGCTGCCACCTCGAACGAGTTTCAAGTCTTGCATTTTCTCACATCACAATCAAAAACCTCCAGTACGAGGATTTTTACTTGCACTAGAGTGGAGAGAACAACTGTCAAGTCTGTCTTTCAGCCTGCTCCTGCCTGATAAAGTCGAAAGCGGGAATGCACAGGAAAAAGGAAAAAGAGTATCCGCACTCCTATTTTGAGTCTTGGAATACGATAGGATCACCTTTTTTTTTTTACAAACGGGTACCCTTTTACTAACGGTACCTGAGATTAACGGGCGGGTACCCGGGTACCCGGTACACCCGTTTGACCCCTAATTTTAACAGTGAGTGTGTGAAAGTGGCCACATTGATTTGCGAACATTTTCCATTGTAATCTCCCTGGTTCTAAGAAATGGCGAAAATTTATTGACGCGAATATCGGTGTGTTTGCAGAATTCTAATTTTACCATAGTAACAAGTCAGAAATGTATTATGTGTTTATAGCACTGTAGGGTCATGAAATTTGTACCGGCTAGGATTTCACAACACACACCATACCGGTATATACCGTAAAATCCCGCCAGAGCGCACCGTCTCTTCCATGCGCCCCTCCCTGGCTTTCTGTCAGGGAAGTGATTGATTGCATCCTTGTGCGACTCCATCATACGGTCATTTTTCTTACTAGTGATGGTGCTGTTGCTGGTGATGGCGATGGTCCCGCAACTATTGCTACTGCTGTGTGGTATTGCTGGTACTGTTGCTGCTGGTGATGGTGCTGCTTGTGCTGTTGTTACTGCTGCTGGTGATGCTATTTATGCAACTGAATGTTGCTGCTTTTTGTTTGTGTTTTTCTTTCTGAATTTTCCCGTTGCACTGCTACAGATATGTTTGTGTTATCGTATCAACAGCAGAGCGGTCGTCCTGTTATTTCTGTAGCTGTGTAGCAGATGAATGTGACTACTACAAGGTATGTCAAAGAGTATCATCAACTGTGCTTATACAGCTTCTTATAATATGTATACGAGTGGGCAATCGCTGAAGTATTATTAAACCGTTGATATTGCTACTGGTGGTGTTCTATCTTCTGACTTCATTGTCTTTCTGTGCTGTGCTTTCTGTGCTACTGCTGCTGCTTGTGTGTGTGTGTGCTACTCTTGCTGTTGCTGCGATTGCTTTTGCTGCTGTTGCTTCTGTTGCTCGTGTGTGTGTGTGTGTGTGTGTGTGTGTGTGTGTTGGCCTTGCCCGGCACAAATGTATGGCTCAGTCTCCAGCCGCAGCCGCAGTGGAGCCGTGTTGTGGCGCGCACTGTGCGTCCTGCACCCGCTGCTTGCGTTCTATCCAGGGTAGGAATAGACACCGCTGCTCAGGTTCTCCCCCGGCCATACCTCAGTCTTGGGGTAACAGTCCTAGGTGACCTGAATCCTGGTGACCTCTTGTTGTGTCCTGGACGCCGTGGGACTGCGTTCTCCTCTTCTCTCTCCGTTGCTCCTCCAGGCCCACGTGACCCTTGTGGCAGTGGCTCGATAGGACAGGACAGAACAGGTGTGTGTTACTCTTGTTTTTGTTGCTGCTGTTGCTGCTTCTGCTGTTGTTGCTCTCGCTGTTGCTGCTGCTGCTTTTGCTGTTGTTGCTGCTGCTGTTGTTGCTGCTGCTGTTTCTGTCGCTGTTTTTGCTGCTGCTGTTGTTGCTGCTTCTGCTTCTGCTGTTGCTGCTGCTGCTGTCGCTTTTGCTGTTGTTGCTGCTGGTTTTGTTGCTGCTGCTGTTTCTGTCGCTGTTTTTACTGCTGGTGTTGTTGCTGCTTCTGCTGTTGTTGCTGCTGCTACTGTTGCTGCTGGTGCTTTTTTAGCTGCCTTTGCTGTTGCTGCTGTTGTGCTGTCGCTGTTCTTGCTGCTTCTGCTTCTGGTGTTGTTGCTCTCGCTGTTGTTGCTGCTGCTGTCGCTGCTATTGCTTTTATTGCTGCTGTTGTTGTCACTGCTTCTGCTTCTGCTGTTGTTGCTCTCGCTGTTGTTGCTGCTGCTGGTGCTGCTGTTGCTGCTGCTCCTGTTGCTGTTGCTGTTGCTGCTGCTATTTCTGCCTCCTACCTCTACTGCTACTGCTGCTATTTCTGCTGTTTCTGTGGCTGTGTTGATGTTGCTGCAGCAGTGACGTCTCCTGCTGTATGTGTGTGAGTGTGAAAAAAAATGAAAAATAGGGATTCCTTGGCAGAACAAGTCGCTGCAAACAGCTGTGTGGCGGATACCAGGCTAAAAATAGTGCCGGTAAATTCATCAGCCTTGCAAGCTGTTGAATAGTGTAATCCCAGCACAAGTTGCTATGTCTAACATAGCTGTTCCCTATCATCGCTTCCGCGATGGGCATGTCTGAGGTCTGAGGTGTGTGTGTGTGTGTGTGC